CCCTGCCCGCCCGGCGGAGGAAGCTCATTTCGGCTGCCTGTATCCGGGATCTTGCTCTTTCGTCGTACAGAGACCAGACGGCACTTAGCAAAGGGCCCCGGACCTCGTACTCCTGGAGCACCCCCCACAGGGCGCCACGAGGGACACGGTGGAATGCCTTCTCCAGATCCACGAAACACATGTGGACTGGTTGGGCAAACTCCCATGAACCCTCTACCACCCAGAAGAGGGCATAGAGCTGGTCCAGTGTTCCTCCACAACCACCCGGGCTGCAGTCCGCTTGGCCTGTCGGTACTCATCAGCTGCCTCAGGAGTCCCACGAGCCAACCAAGCTCAAAAGGACTCCTTCTTCAGCATGACGGGATCCCTTACTTCCGGTGTCCACGACCGGGTTCGGGGATTTCCGCCACGACAGGCACCGGAGACCTTACAGCCACAGCTCCGAGTGGCCGCATTGGCAATGGAGGGGGATGTCTCCAGTCTCCCTCGGGATCTGGTCGAAGCTCTGCCAGAGGGGGGAGTTAAAGATTTTCCTGACAGGCCTCAAAATATGTTTGGGTCTGCCGAGTCTGTCCAGCTTCCTCCCCCACCATCGGATCCAACTCACCACCAGGTGGTGATCAGTTGACAGCTCCGCCCCTCTCTTCACCTGAGTGTCCAAGACATACGGCCGGAGGTCAGATGAAACAACCACAAGGTCGATCATCGACCTTCGGCCTAGGGTGTCCTGGTGCCATGTGCACTGGTGGACATCCTCATGCTTGAACATGGTGTTCGTCATGGACAAACTGTGATTAGCACAGAAGTCCAATAACAGAACACCGCTTGGGTTCAGATCGGGGGGCTGTTCATCCCAATCACGCCCCTCAAGGTATCACTGTCATTGCCCACATGAGCGTTGAAGTCCCCCATTAGAACAATGGAGTCCCCAGTCAGAGCACTTTTCAGCACCCCTCCCAGGGACTCCAAGAAGGCCAGGTACTCTGCACTGCCGATCGGCCCATAGGCACAAATGACAGTGAGAGACCTATCCCCCGGCGTGAAGGCACAGGGAAACGACCCTCTCGTTCACCGGGGTAGACTCCAACACATGGCAACTAAGCTGGGGGGCTATAAGCAAGCCCACACCAGCCCGCCGCCTCTCATCGCGGGCAACTCCAGAGTAGTGGAGAGTCCAGCCTCTCTCGAGGAGTAAGGTTCTGGAGCCCAAGCTGTGCGTGGAGGTGAGCCTGACTATTTCTGGCCCGTATCTCTCAACCTCCCGCAAAAGCTTGGGCTCCTTTCCCACCAGCGAGGTGACATTCCATGTCCCCAGAGCTAGTCTCCATTTCCAGAGATCGGGTCGTCGGGGCCCCTGCCTTCGACCGCTGCCCGATCCACTGTGCACCAGCCCCCTACGAATCCTCCTGCAGGTGGTGGGCCCACTGGAGGACGTCCCCACGTCGCTCGTGGTAGCGGTGTGAGTTTTCCTTGCTTTTCTCAGCAACAGTTTAACGACATGGACTTAACGATTACTCTTGCTCCTGTCGGCACTTCAGTCCAGCAGCCTGACGTGCCAGGTGGTGCTGATCAGCATGCCATGGGAGTTTACCTCCGAGTGTGGCCCTTCTCCAGACAGGAGCTCTGTGACGACCAGGACCAGGTGCAGTGTTGTCCAGTCCATCTAGTCCCAGTCATGACAGTCAATGTGACCAGCTCCACAGACACAAGAGGAAGTTTATAGATGAAATTATCACCGATGCTGGAGAGATGTAGTCACTAAGAACTGTGAACATCCAGGGTCCTCTCCTGAGAAAATGTGTCTCTTTGCACCATGGAGTAAATCAAGACACTAAATATTTAATTGCGTTTGAGTGGTTGTATTTAAGACTCAGCCTTTGTTACAAGCAACTTGAGACTCAGGGGGTGGTCACATTACACTTTCTTTTATTCCATACACTTTCACTCAAACACTATGAATAGAGCGGATAAGATAATTACTTCAGTCCGTTGGCTATAAGCTGCATTGACCAATGAATTTACAAATGTGTAAATGGATGACAGTCAAAAGAGCAGCTGCTTGACTCCTTACAGAGGGCAGTTTTACTTGATGCAAAAGATATGAACCAAAATATATTTTGTATATGTACTATAGTTTAGCAATAGCTAACTGGTTAGCATTTGGCCCTTCATACATACAAAGTTGCATCAGGCTAAAAGCTGCTAATGCTAACAAGTTTAGGGTTCATATTACTGTTACTCAACATAAACATTTCTTTGAAAATTTATTCATATTGTGTTGTACTGTATTCAAAGTCAGACAAATTTATAAATATTATTGAATCAATTTCAGTTTCTCAACAGATAAGACGCACCGATTTAATAGTGCATCACTAATGTTGCTGATCTGAAACTTTGCTTCTATTCTCAGTGTGTCCTTCATTCTCTGTTTTGTCTTTCCATCTACTGTCAGACTTTTTTGGAAATTTACAGCATGCAGTATTGTAGAAACAGCACTGTCTCTCTCAAGAAATGTGCGTATGTGTGTGTATACCTGAACTGGGCCTTGCTGGGGCTGGGTGATTGTGTCTGGCTGTGCTGCTCCTTCTCTTGCCTCTCCCTCAGCATCCTCTCAGCCAGCAGGAAGTAGGTAGCTGTGATGTGGTTATACTGATTTGACTCCAGAGCCCTAAGAAAATTGAAAAAGAAATCAATTTCAATTCCAAAATACACACCTTCACATGCTCATACACATGATCAGACAGATTAGCACCAAACCCTGACTGTGAGTCAAAAGGAGGTGACGGGGGTGGGGATTTAATTTGACAAGGAAACAGCTCAGGATTGACTGCCAGCTGGTTGTTAATGGCAATTAAACTGTTGATGACACTTGATTAAGCTTCAGCTGGGCTAGTGAACCATGGCACATATTTGAGGATTACACTGGAAAGAATAGCTGCATGTTAATTTATGTGTGTGTGAAATAGAGGGACACATACTCAGTTATGCTGTCTCGGTCAGCAATGCCCCCCAGCACCATGCGTTGGATGATGGAACCATGTTCCTCCTCTGACACACTGCGATGGGACACTAGAGGAGTGGACAGCTTGGTGGCCGGCGAGGGGTCAACACCTTGAATCCATTCATGGGCCTCGATCTCCTCTAGGGTTGCTCGTTTCTTGGGATCCCTCTGTAGCATATGTCCTATTAGACTGAAGGCAGTCACAGAGAAACATAATTTTATCGAGGAACATCTGGTAATTAATTACTGTAGCTATACTGTAGCTGTAGCTATATTTAGATAACCTAAACACAAATATTTCTATAATTAATTAACTAATTCCAGTTTTTGACAACTTGGGTGACATTTTTATCAGTAATAATAACGCTTTATTTATCAAGTTATCTCCTGAAATCTGGGAACACTGCATCGCTTCAGTAAGTCAGCAAACCTGCAGGTTAGCCAAACCTAAGAGAAAATGCTTTTGAATGCTAAAATTATTACCCAGACTGTCTGGTATAAACATGTTACGGTTTCGCTCGCTCGGCCTCATGACTTTGTGTTTCTGTTTTCCTTGTCTCTCCTCCCTGCTCTGTCGCCGTGATCAGTCATTATGTCACTCTTTTCCTCCCGGTCCTGTTCCTGTTCATCATTTCACCCACCTGCTTCTCGTTGTCTCCCAGTCCCATGACACCTATATACACCCTGTCACTGCTGCCTCTTTGCTGGTTCATTCCAATGTCAAACCCGGACGTTCACTGCGATCTTGGCCTAGCTCATGCTGTCTGCTAAAGGTCGTCTACGCCGTCTCACCCCGTGTTTTCTCCACGTTTCTTGGTTTGGTTTTTTTCTGTTATGTTCCGCTCTATGTATTTGGGTTTGATTTGAGCGCTCGCTGCCTCTGCGTTTGCAGTGCGCTACTTCTCTGTGTAGCTGCTGGCTCACCTGATCGTCTTCTGGTTCCCATGTGCCTGCTGCTGCCAGCTCACCTCCTTTGTCTTCTGGTTCCCGTGTCCCTCCTGCCGCCGGCTCTCCTCCCTCCTTCGTCCCTCCTGCCGCCGGCTCTCCTCCCTCTTTCATCCCTCCTGATTCCTGTGTCCCTCCTGCTGCAGGCTCTTCTCCTTCAGCCCTCCTGGTTCCTGTTCTCTCCTGCTGCTGGCTCTCCTCCTCCATCTTCTGGTCTCCTTTGTCCCTCCTGCTGCCGACCCTCCGAGCCATGTGGGGCCAAGCACTCAGTACATCAGATCCCGTCAGGTGCCTGGAGACCTGTGCCAAGATGAGGGGGCTCCAACCCCTGGTTGGAGCATTTCCCTGACACTGCAGACCTGCTCCCTCTAGTGGCTGGTTTTCAGGCACGTCAGGAGGCCCTCTTGGTGGAGAGAAAGATGGCCGAGGGGAACCCTTGTCTCCCCACTCGGTCCTTGGAACCTGTACTGTCCAGCCAGCTGGGTGTCCTTTCCTTGTCTCCTGGTACGGCTTCTCTTGACCCCGGGCCCTTGCCCTCTGAGGGGACCCATCTGAGCCCTATCAAGGCCCAGAATATTTACAGACAACTGAAGGCTCAGATGGTGTCCCCCCTCCTCCTCCAGCACC